ACATCCTCCCCCAGACCTTACCCAGATCTTCCCCGAGATCCCTCCTCCAGATATTCCCTCAGATGTTTCTCCGAATCTTCCACCAGAATTCTCCCCAGATCGTCTCCAGATCTCCCCCCAGATATCCACCCAGATCTTCCCCGAGATCTCTACTCTAGATTGTCCTGCAATATTGCTGCAGAGCCCCCGGCGCCGCAATCGGCATCATCACCGGCGCAGTCTTTATTCTTTCTTAAAACCACCAACACTGGCGCCGCGCTGCGCTAAGAAATTGCACGCTTCAAAGCTGGCTCTCGCAAGAGGGCTAAGACATTCAGCGAAGCTGGATTTCAGTTTCTTGCTGGAAGAGTTCTTATCATAAGTTCAGAGTACATGTGTGCGTCTGCATCCCAGGGGCGACGTGCGCGCCGAAAAACCTTACAGTACAAGCTCCGAGGCGGGCACTTTCTGGCCGTACCGCTCGGGGGAAGAGATATACTACGACATGGTTATATAAGATGTTCGAGTCGGACGTGCGCCTCCGAGGACACATATGTCCTCGTGCGTCCCATGCTGTCCTCGATGTCCGCGCGTGTTTCTTGGATTGACGCCGCGGCCCCCCTGGCGCCGCCCCTGGCGCGTTCCGCGCGCCAGGGAGGAGGGTCTGTCGCAGATTCCAGAAATCCGAGCGGACCTCCGAAGGTTTGTGTTTATGCATTCTCTTGTTCCTCTAGATGCGGCTCCCTTGGGGGCCGTCTTGGGGGCTTCTCGGGGCCCTCACTGTGCCGTCTTGGAGCCCTCTCAGGGCCTCATAAAAGGGGGCTCTCTGGGGCCGTCTCTGGGCCCTCCTGGGGGGGGGTCTGCGGGCCGTTCACGGGGCGATCTTCCTGGGGGCTTCCGAGGTTCCTCGAGGTGTGGCTCCGCGTGCCACCCGGCATGGCGCGACCCCCCGAGGTCCGGACCCTTCTCCCGGGACCAGTTCTTCATCCCGGGTTGTTTTGTTGACGGTCGCGAGGCCCGGTGAGGGGCCCCATGGGGCCGAACGTAGCGAGCAGAAAGGTCCGTCGTGGTCTCTTCATGACTCGAGGGGGGGTGTGGGCGTGCTGCCCCCGCAGGCTCGGCGTTGGCCCGCCCTTTCCGCGGCCGCGCTCTCCGCCCGCGGCGCCCCACGCAGAAGGCGGCGCGCGGGGGGGGGCGCCAGGGGCGCCGCGCGGCTCTCTGCGGGAGCGCGCACCGATGTTCGGGTTGACCCCAAAGGGGGTCCAGCGACAAGGGGGTGGTGCAACAGATTCGGTGCAATAGATATTGACGGGGTTGCCATACGTTTGGCGTTTGGGGCGTGCAATGCATTCCGGGGCGCACATGTCTATTGCTGGGTTGTCGCGCGCCATACACTACTCGCAATACGCAGCAATACAATTCTCTGGAGAAGTATATTGCACCACCCCCTTGCAGCTGGACCCCTTTCTGGGTCGACCAGAGCTGTGGCCACGCGCGGGCCTCCAACGCTGGAGCTGTTTGGAGGCCCGAGGTGGGCCCAGCACTGGGTCCCGCCCCGGCAGGGCGGGCGGGCAGGTTCGAAGCCCTGGGTGCCCAGGCCCCCTCGCGTGGTGGAGCACATTCGCGACGGGAGGTGTCCTTCGCCAGTTTTTGCAGCCTCTGGGGGCCCTTCTGAGGCCGGGCCTCGGGTTCGCCAAGAAACGATGCAGGGCGAGAAACCGGTCCCGGGGAGTGGTCCCGACTTCTCGGGGTCGCGTCATCGGGTGCTGCTGGAAGTACCCCTGGCCCAAGGTGCCCCCATGATTCTCGGGGTGGCCCGGACAGCCTCCAGGCCACCCCTCACGAGGCCCCGAGGGCCCCAGGAGCTCCAACATGGAGCGAAAATCTGGGGGGCACCTCGAGCCAGCACTTCCAGCAACTCCCGACGCCATGAGAAGATCACGACGCCGGGGGTCTGGGCTCGTTTTTTTTGTTGTTGGTTGCTGCCTCTGTCGGGCCCCGCGGGGGTCCTCCGCGGGCCGCGGGGCCGCGCAGAACAGCTATCTGGAGCGAAAAGCTGCGCCAGATTGGCTCCTCCTCCTCCTCCTCCTCCTCCTCCTCCTCCTCCTCCTCCTCCTCCCTCCTCCTCTTCCGCCTCCTCCCCCTCCTCCTCCTCCTCCTCCTCCTCCTCCTCCTCCTCCTCCTCCCAGATTGACCCCTGGAGGGGTCGGGGGACCGATTCGGGGCGGAATTCGGGACCGAACCAGTTCAGACTTATTGGCCGCCTCCAAGTGGGGCGTCCAAGAGGGGGGTGATCACCAGGGAGGCCAGGGCCATGCTGTCTTCGATACGTCCCTTGGCCTCGCCCGGGCCGCGCACTTGCCTCGGGCCACGCTTTTCGAACCCCCTCTCTTGGACGCCCATCGCGAATATGGATCAGGGGGGCGTGGATCAGCGACGGGTCCCGCTTCCAGGGGAAATCGCGGATTTCCGCCGCCGACAGAGGCGGCACTGGCCGCATTTTGGAAAGGGCCCCTCCCCCGATCCAGGGATGTGGCGGCCGCGTTCCAAATCCATGGATGGCTAATCCATGTTTGCGCGCCCCCGATTCCCCTGACATTCCAGAGTGCTAAGAAATAGCTTTCCAGACCTCTAGACTTATCTGGACTGCCTAAAACCTCGACAGGAATTAAGATGTCGAGGTCCTGGTACTATTTTTTAAGCCTTCCTGGAAGGTCAGACTCTTTGACGCCCCCGACAAGACCTCCAACGTGTTGAGCAAAATCAGGGCGGAGGTTTTCCCAAATCTTCGGACCCTGGTCGCCCTCGCCGGGCTCCTGCCGAGGAGCGCCAAAACCGACTCTGGGTGGCGAAGTCGGTCGGGCGGCCCCGCGCGGGGGCGTGCCGTGGGCCCGGGGCACTTTCGGGGAGGGGCGGGGTTTTCGAGGGTTTCCGGGGCCTCATGCCCAGACCCCTCGAGTCCTGAAACAATCACGACGGGAGGTTTCTCCATATTTTCGGCCCCTGGGGGCCCTCATCGGCCCTCGGGATAGTCAAAAAACGACTCGGGTTGAAAAACGAGTCCCTGGGAATGGGCCCGAACTTCTGGGGGTCGCGTCATGGAAAAATCATGACGTCGGGGGTCTGGGTGGGCCCGCGGCACTGTCGGGGAGGGGCCGGGTCTTCGAGGGTCTCCGGGGCCTCATGTAAAGCGTGCATGCGATGGTGCAGGCCTGGCCGGTGGCACCGCCTGCAAAGCTCTACCTCTCACCTCACCGTGCGCTGCCCCTGAGGCGCACGCGTCTCTGGGGGGGCATCCCGACTCCCAGCGCGGGGGGCGGGCATGTGCGCAGAGGCTCGCTGGTACGACCACCCCTCTCTCCTGAAGAGGTTCCCCCCCTCTCGGGAAGCTCTCCAGCGGCAGCGCGTCGCCGAGAGCGGTCCCCGCGGGGTGCCCGGGTCGTCCGACGGACGGCCGCCGGAGGCCCGAGTGCTGGCCCGAAGAGCTCCCTATAGACCTCGAGCGTCTTTGTCAAGACAACACGTGGCGACATGTGGTTTGTGGTCTTCGGCGTCGAGGGACCTTCGCTGGGCCCCGGGAGCCGCCAGAGAACGAAGCCGGATGAAGCGCCGTCCTGGGGAAGGGGCCGGGGCCCCTGGGAGTCCACGTGGTGGGAAAATCGTGTGTTGTGAACAACAGCAAACGCTGCTACGCCTTCCTCCTTTCGACGTTTGCGTGCCTCCTGGGAGGCCCTCGTCGCCACCGTGGGAGAGGTCTGGAGAGCAGCGGTAATGATTGGCATCTTCTGGTCTCCCCACCCGCCCCCTCTCGTCGTGAGAGGGTCGCGACGGACGGTTTTCAGCCGCTCTGGTTCGTTTCGGGGACCATCACCGGGCCTCGTGGGGCAGTCAGTCACAGCGGCTCGGGATGAGGAGCCGGCTCTGGGAAGGGGCCAAAGCCTCTGGGGAGCCGCGGTGTGAAGAACCCACGGCGTCGCGGTTTCTGGGCGGGGGTGGCCTTGCGCGCTACGCGGGCGCAGGCCCTGAGATCCGAGGTCGCGGCAAAGAAGCGCGGCAACGGCGAAGAGGAGACCCCGGCCAGAGCTTCCGGCCTCGCGTCTTTCTGCACCGCTTTTCGAGCCGGATCGGTCCGTCAGGGCCTGGGGGGGCCCGAGAATGGGCGGGAGGCGCTGGGTACGAAAAGTTCGCGACGCCCAGCCCAGGGCCGCCAATGAGACGGCCAGCCAGTCCCTTCCGATCCCCCGTTGCCGACCTGGGCGTGGGAGCCGTGTGGAGCCGTCGCAGAATTATCGAGGAGGAAGATGCTGGTCCCAGGGGCTGGGTCGAGACCTCGTGAGGCCCACGCCGCGCGTACAGCCATGGCGTCGGCGGCTCGGGTGGCGGAGGGCGGCGTCTATCGGCGGCTCCTCGGAGAGGGCTCTCCACCAGGGCCTCGGACGTTCCCCAGAGGCTCGTGGAGGGGCAGTCGGCACACTCACGTGTGACGAGGCGCAGCCGCAGGAGGAGACCGATGCGACAGCGGAGGGGGGGAACGGGAGAAGGCGGAGGTGGATGACAGACCAGAAGAGCATGACTCCACCGTGCTGGCCGAGCGAACATGCCCCTGCTAGCCGAAAAGGTAGGTGACTAAAAAACATCGGTGACCGAAAAAGTGCCCGAAGTTGTGTCCGAAAACGTAGCGTGATCGAAGTTGAGCATCGTCTTTGGGTTCGAACCAAGAATTTGGGTCACACTCGGGCGCGGTCGGAACAATGATTGCGCCAGTTTCGGTCACGCTCGGGCAGATGTTCGGGCACAGCCTCGGTCACGACGCCTCCCTGATAGAGACCAGACCACGTGAGCAGCAGCATGCAAGCAGTGGGAGGCGCCGCCGGTGCCGGCTTCGTCGTCGCCACCGTGGCGATCGCCGCCGTGCTTGCCTTGCCTCTCCCCACGCTCGCGTGCTCCGTGCCCCCAGCCACATCGGCGAGGACGAGGCGAGGCGCGCGCCCTGCCGCGAGCTCGAGCGAAGGCGTGTCCGTAGGGCCTCCTGGGGCCCAAGCTCTGGCCAGGCGGGGCCCGCGGGCCCCGTGGCTCGCAGCCGGCTGCCCGGCGGCGGCCTGCGGGGCGTGGGATGCGCCAGGAGGCGGAGCCCGACCCAGACCCCCGACGTCATGATTTTGTCGTGGCGCGACCCCCCCCAGAAGTCCGGACCCATGTCTCCCCGGGGTACCAGCTTTGCCTCCCGAGTCGTTTTTTTGGACGGCCCCGAGGCCCGGCGAGGGTCCCCTGGAGGCCGAGGCTGGCGAAAAGCCTCCCGCTGTGATCTCTTCGTGACTCGAGGGGGTCTGGGGGAGGAGGGGCCCGAGGAGGAGGGGGAGGGAGCGGCGGCCGCCGTGGACGCGCTGACGCGGGCGGTGGGCGAGACCCCGACCTTCGCGCACGGCGCATTCTCGCCCGAGGGCGTTGCCCACGCCGCGGCCTTCCGGCCGCGGCCGGGCGACGTGTTCATCCTGACGCCGCCGAAGACGGGGACCACGTGGCTGCAAATGCCTCGAAGAAGAACAGCAAAAACGCCACTGACATAAACTTGTAGCGCTCCGCGCGGGTTTCTCGGATCCGCGCTGGGGCCCCCCTGGGCGGCGCTCCGCGCGCCTGGGAGGGGGGTCCAGCGCCGACCCCAGAAATCCGCGCGGAGCGCCACAGGTTTATGCTTATGCCGTTCGTTCTCCTTCGGGAAGTGCTGTGCCACGCGCTCCGCACCAAAGGCGAGCACACCGGGTTCGACGACATCTACCAGGTGGCCCCGTGGGACCAGCTGGCCTGGGACCTCGGCCAGAGCCTGGAGGACGAGCAGGTCGCCAGCCCCCGGCTGTTCAAGTGCGGGCAGGATCTGTGATCACATCCACGGCGCCTGGGATGTCTGGGGAAGGGATGCCACATCGGAGCCCGAGACGCGGTGGACATGGAGAACGGTCTGGCTTCTCTGGGGGCCAGACGCTATCCACGTCTGTCGCGCCTCGGGACTCTAAGGGAGGGGGTCCGACACACGGAGGCGCAGCGGATGCGGATAGAAATCCTGCACGCGTCGAGAGCCACCAGCGCCTCTCCTCCATCAACCGCGGTGCGCGCTACCTGTGCCTGGTGCGTCGGGTGGAGGACGTGCTCCTCTCCTGGTGGCGCTTCCTGCGGGAGAAGGACGTGCCGCCGCTGCGGAAGTACAATTCGGCGTCGGAGTTCGCCTTCGACGATGAGTTCTTCGCAGAGGGAATGCGGTTCGGGGCCACCATCTCAGGACACAACTCCTGGGAGGTCAAACTCAGCATCGGCGCTGGTATATCCGTGGTCAAACACTGGCGCAACCTGGCACAATCCCGCCGAATCCCGCCTACTCCCGTTTTCATCCTGCTCGCTCCCGCCTGATCCTGCTTGGTACTGGTTTGATCATTCCGGCTTGATGGCCCCTGAATCGGTTTCATAGCGCTTATCTACAGCCAGACCGAGGTATCAGATCGAGGTCGGTTCGGGGAGGGCACCCTGATGTTCTCCGTGTTGGTTCGACATCCTTGTGCACCTGTGGGGAGGGTACCCTTGGATGCTCTGCTCGTTTTTGGCCGACCCAGGGTCCCATGTGCTCTTGAAGGGTGCTCTTCTGGCCTTCGGGTCCGACTGCCTCCCGCGAAGACCTCCCCGAAGTTACCTCCTGGAGCATCTGGGAGTACTACGCGGAATTTTTCCGAGCACGGAGGCTGCCCTCGGTCCTCGTCCTGTGCTACGAAGGCCGGGAGCGGTCCGGAGGGGGGGCGACGGCTGGAGGGCGGGGGGGCGGGATGCCACGGCGGGGGCCATGACATCTCCCCAGATCTCATGGCGCCTCCTCTCTTCTCTCCTCACGCGTCCCCTGCCCCTCCCCCCTGGGGTGGCGCACGTGCCGCTGGTCATGGTTTGCGCCCCCCCTCCTCTTGGACGCCCCCCTCCTGGCCGCTCCCGAGCAGACCTGCTGGCCGACCTGCCGGGCCACCTGCCGCTGCTGTTAAGTCGGGCCCGTCCCTCTACAGGAGGAATATTCAAGATAGTAAAAAAATAATTTGTCTGACCATCTTGGAGTACTTTGTGGAGTATGGTTCGTTTTGCATTGAAAATCCCCCTGTAGGGGGACACGCCCGACCTAACCCTGCTGGCGGACTTCCTGGGCCTCGGCGCGGCGCAGCGGGCGGCCCTGGCGGACCCGGCGGGCCTCGCGCGCGTCCTGCGCCTGGCCAGCAGGGACGGCGCCCCGGGGACAGAAAGAAGCACACACGGTTCATTTTTTCATTTTTTGTTTTATGATGTTTTGATTTTGATCTCTTGATTCTTCGAAGTTCCTTGATTTTATTTGGGGGGCCAAGATCCTTTCATTTCTGATTGTTCTATCCTGGGCTTCTTCTTGGCCACCAGGGGGCCTGTAACAAATTTGAAACGAGCACAGTGCGTAATGAGCACGGTCAGAAATGAACGACGTGTACGGTCGGACCGAGGTCTAAGATCGAGGTCGGTTCGGGGAGGACACCCTAATGAGCCAGGACCCCAGGCTAGGGGACCCGTTTAGTAGTAGGGCCCCGGAGCCCCTAACTTGGCCAGACTCACTAAACCAGGTCAACTGTAGCTGGTGTTTTTTTCGGGTGACGGCAGTTCCAGTTAGTGGAACGGGGCGTGGGGGCGTCCCCCAGTACACATCGCTGAACTAGGTCCCACTAAATCCAGTTCTGCCAACGCCCGGCTGATGTCGGCGACGAGCGAGGGGAGGAAGTAAGGAGAAGGTCGTGTCAGAAGGTTCGGAAGTCCCCTGGCCTTCTGAGGAGTCTTCTAACTTAGCCTTTCCCCGAAGACAGAAACAAACCTCTCAGAAGGCGCGAGGGCTTGTGAGAAGTCCCGCCGCCTTCTGAGAAGGCCTTCTCCGCCTCATTTCCCCCCCTCGCTCGCCAACAATCATGTTCTGTGTGTCTGTTGGATGTTCTTGTGCATATCCTGGGGAAGGGCACCCTCGACTGTGCTTCCGTTTGGGCCGGCGCAGGGTCATGTTCTTGAGGAGTGTTCTGCTGTCCTAGGCCCGGCCGTACTCCAACCGCTACCTTTGCCTCCTTTTGGCTTCTGAGATCGGGCCCCGGACCATGAAACGAATGGATCGGAGACAACAGAACGGTCCCCGGGGAAGCGGACGGGACGCCCCAGGCCGCGGGCTGGAACAAAATCAACAGGTCGGCGGACGTCCAGGGCTGGCCCTCGCCGGCGCCTCTCGGGGGCTTCCCGGGGGGGACCTCGTCGCCACCGCTGGATTTGCCTAGAAGTCCGATGGTCAGAGCGCACCCCGGGAGAGGTCTGCGAAGCCGCGGATGGAAAGAAACGGATCGGCTGATGTCAGGGGGTGGTCCTCGTAGGCGCCCTTTTTCGGGGCTTCCTGCGAGGGCCTCGTCGCCACCGCTGGACTTGCCTCGAGGCCCTGGTCGGAGCGCTCTCTGGGAGAGGTCTGCGCAGCAGCGGTATCGGTGCCTTTGTGGGCCCCCCTCAGGCATGCGCGAGATGGGGTCCAAGTTCGACGAGAGCTGGGCGTTCGGGCAACTGCAGCGCGTCGGCCGCATGCGCGACCCCTCCACGTTCGCGCCCTCGCCGAGGGTGACCGAAGAGCAGCCTACGTCAGAAACATAGAGTTTCAATCTCGGAGCTCCGAAAGTCAGAGTGTTGGGGTCGAACGATCTGTCATCGCCCCTGGGCGCGCGGCCGAAACGGGATCCCGCGGCTCCTGTCCTGCCTCTGTGTTGCTGTTGCTGGTGGTGGTGGTGTTGTTGCTGTTGCTGCTGCTGCTGTTGTTGATGCTACTGTTGTCATTGTTGTTGTTGGTAGTGTTGTTGTTGTAGTTGTTGTTGTTGGTGTTGTTGTTGCTGCTGTTGTTGCTACTGTTATTGTTGTTGTTGTTGTTGTGCTGTTGTTGTTGGTGTTGTTGCTGTGGTTGTTGTTGTGGTTGTTGTGATTGAGTTCTCCTTTCCGAAGAGTAATTATTGTTGATCCCCCCGTCCGGTGCACATTGTTTTTTCGATTGAAGTGCCCTTCCCGGGGCTCGCACCTTGTTTCTTATCAGGAAAAATATTGAGGCTCAAACTGTGTTGTGGGCCCCCGGTTTACAACAACAACTGCTCCCGCCTGATATTTCCTCACAAATGATTGAAGAATCGCGCTTTCGCTTGGGATTTCCTTGCAATTTGCCACCGGATCGCGGCTCCCGCTTAATATTTCTTCAGAATGTATTGAAGAATCGCGCTCTCGCTTGGGACTTCCTCGCAGCTTACCACCGAATCGCGGCTCCCGCCTGATACTTCCTACAATTTATTCAGATGCCGCTCCTCGACACTCAGGAATCGCGCTCCCGCTACATATTGCCTGGCGGTTCAAGGAAAATTTACGCTTCAACGACCCGCCCGCTCGACCCGCCCGTCTGGGCCTGCCCGCCCGACCAGCCCGTTAGGGACTGCAGTCGCCGCTCGCTGCCTTTCGCCCGCCTCCCCCCCCGGTGCCCGTACTGTCCAGTGCCTTCCAATCCCCCCGCGCCTTGTTTCCGCAGCAGTCTCCGCTCGTATCCACCTGCCCCCACTTTTCAACGGTCTTTCCCAGTCTTCTCTACTGTTTCCCTTTATCTTCACTTTCATGTCGTTCGTATTCCATTGTGCTATTCCTCAGTTCTTCGCATTCCGCCCACTCCTCCCCAGGCCACCCCATCCCACCCCAACAATCTCCACCCCTTTCCGCTCGCATTCCGCATTTTTCCCAAATTATTCCCAGTCCCTCCTCCAGATTCCTCCGTGCGCCCCCCACTCCTCCGCACTCCTCCCGGTTCCTTTTCTCCACTCCTTGCCGCTCCTCCCCCTGAGACCCTACTCTTGTCCAGTCCATCCCAATCCACTCCACATCCCCGCGCTCCTCTCGACACGGTTGCAGCTTTCATTATCCTTCCGCCCCACGCTCCCAACAGCCCGCTTCTTTTCAGGGTTCCACGAAATTTGTTTCTGACACCAGTTCGCAGCTGTACGTCCCCCCGTGGGGGTATCCACGATATGTTTATTTCAAGGGGGTGGTACGTGGCGCTGTTTATGGCGTGACTCATGGCGAAACTTATTGTTAACCTGTGTTGGAGTGGCTGGCGCAAGCCATGGCGCAAGCTGAGTCGCCACTCGCAGCGCAAATCGTCGTCATGCCTCCTTCTTGCCCCGCCCCTCTTTTCCTCCGATCCCTTCGTCATCATTATCCCCCAATGTCTGTGACCCATCGTTTTTGCAAGGGCTTCATCAACCGCGCGTGGCAGGGAATGACGATACCCCCCCCCCCCCCCCCGAAAAAAGGGAACGATCGAAGACGAAGCGGGCGTGTATCCAGGCTTTGGGTTATGCATAACGAATCACACGCGAGCAGATAAGAGCGAACAGTCTTACAATGATTGATGTTGTTGTTGCTGTCGTTGTTGCTGTCGCTGTTGCCCCCTCCGGTGACCACTGTGTTTACTTCAGTTGAAGTGCTTCCCCCGGGGCCCGCACCTTGTTTTTGATACGGGAAATTTACTCGGGTCAATCTGGGCCCCTGGTCCCCCGTTACACCAGCAACCTCTCCCGTCTGATAACCCCCTACATTGTATTCCCAAATCGCGCTCTCGCGCGGGACTTACGATTCATGTGCGCTTTGCGCTCTCGCGCGGTACTTCCTTGCAAATTATTCAGACGATGCGACATCGGCGCTCAGGAATCACGCTCTCGCTATGGCTTTTCTCACGATCTACTTGGGAATTGCGCTATCGCTCGAGATTTCCTCGCGATTCATGCAGGACCCACGCTTCTGCAACCCGTCTCCTCGACCTGGTCGCCTGGGCCCGCCTTCCCGACCTGCCCGCTATGGGTTTGCCCACCCGATATGCCCGTCTGGTTATACCACTTGTTGTTTGCTCCTTGTCCCCCTCCTGCTAATTTCTCTCGTGCTTCATTCTTCTCCCTCTCCCTTTCCACCCGTCATTTTCGCTCTTGTTTTAGAGGCTGCACTGAAGGCAGGTAAGGAAACTATACCCCGAAGGGGGTGCGATCGAAGACGACGAGGGCGGGTGCCGAGGGCTTGGGGTATACGTATCGATTGGCACGTGAGCAGATAGGAGCGAGCAGTCTTAAAATTGTTGTTGTTGTTGGTGTTGTTGTTGGTGATGGTTTTGGTGGTTGGTGCTGTTGTTGGTGTTGTTGTTGCTTTTCTGGTGTTTATGTAACTATGTGGTTCGTATTGGTGTTGTTGTTGTCGTCGTCGTCGTTGTTGTTGCTGTTGAGTACCCATGTCTAACTAATAATTACTGTTGGTCCCCTTCGGATAACCATTGTATGTTTTAGTTGGAATTCCCCTCCCGGGCTCGCACCCAGTTTTTTTCCAGGGAAAGGTGGGGGTCACCAGACCGGGCCCTTGGCCCCCGAGTTACAACAACAACAACAACAAAAACAGCGGCTCCCGCCAGATATTTCTTCATAGTTTAATGAGAAATCGCGCTGTCGCGTGGGCCTTCCTCGCAAGTTATGAAGGAATCGCGCCCTCGCGTTGGAAAACCCCGCAATTTCTTCAAACGCCGCGCCCTCGACACTGAGGAATCACGCTCTCGCTTTGGCTTTGCTCACGATTTATTTGGGGATCGCGTTATCGCTCGAGCTCTCCTCGCGATTCATGCAGTATTCACGCTTTGGCTCGGCTTCCCGAGTCTAACTGCCCGATCTGCCCGTCTGGTTCTGCCACGCGCATTGTTCTCAAAGTCCCCTTCCTGCGAATCCCGTGTTCCATCCTTCTTTTTCCCCCTTCCATCCGTCCTCTATTTCCTTGCTTCAGTGGCTGCACCAATTTCACGCGGCAGGTAGGGAATATATACCCCCAGGGGGCACGATCGAAAACGAAGAGGGCGGGTTCCGAGGGTTTGGGATATACGCGTTGCATGGCACGCGTGCTGGTGAGAGCGAACAATTTGAAACTGATTGGCATGGTTGTTGCTATTGTTGAACTCTCACAGTGGAATAATACGTTTTGTTGACCCTCCTCTCCGGTAGCACATGTGCTTTTTCAATTGAAGTGCCGCTCCCGGGGCCCGCACCCTGTTTGTTATTAGGGAAAGTCTTCCTGCTCAAACTGTACCCTGGCCCCCAGTTGTCAACAACAACGGCTTCCGCCTGAGACACCCTCACAATTCATTCAAAGCTTATCCTGTCAATGTATCGAAGAGTCGCGCTCTCGCCTGGTATTTCCTTGCATTTTTTTCAGGCGTCGCGTCTTCGACACTCAGGAGTCGCGCTGTCGCTTTGGACTCCCTCACAATTAATTCAGGCGCCGCGCCCTCGACACTCAGGAATCACGCTCTCGCTTTGGATTTCCTCACGAGATTTCTTGTGGAATCGCGCTGTCGCTCAAGACGTCCTCGCGATGCATGCAGGACGCACGCTTCAGCAACCCGCCTGCTCGACCTGGCCGCCTGGGCCCATGGCGCGCGACCAGATAAGAGCGAACAGTCGTAATCTCATGGTTGAACTCCCACTACTGGAGAAGAATTACTGTTGATCCCCTTCCTCCGGTGCACATTGTATTTTTCAATTGAAGTGCCCTTCCCGGGGCTCGCACCCTGTGTTTTTAACAAGGAAAGTCTTGAGGGCCAAACTGTGTTGTCGGCCCCCGGGTTCGAAGAACAACGGCTCCCGCCTGAGACTTCCTCACAATTTAGCCAGGACCCCCGCTCCCGCCCGAGACTTCCACACATTTTATTCTGGAATCGCGCTCTCGCGGGGGACTTCCTTACAATTTATTCAGGAATCGCTCTCTCGGCGCTCTGGAGTCGCGCTCTCGCTGGAGACTTGCTTGCAATTTACTTAAGAATACCGCCCTGGAATTTCCCGCAATTTGCTCAAGCGCCGCGCTCCCGACACTCAGGCACCCAGGAATCGCGCTCACGCTTAGAACTCCCTCACAGATTATTTAGAAATCGGGATCTCGCTGCCATTCGTGGGCCCGTTGCAGCCCTTCGTGGCCCCCTCGCTGCCTTTCATGGACCCGTTGCAGCCCTTCGTGGCCCCCTCGCTGCCCTTCGTGGCCCCGTTGCAGCCCTTCGTGGCCCCCTTGCTGCCCTTCATGGTCCCGTTGCAGCCCTTCGTGGCCCCCTCGCTGCCCTTCGTAGCCCCGTTGCAGCCCTTCGTGGCCCCCTCGCTGCCCTTCGTGGCTCCGTTGCAGCCCTTCGTGGCCCCCTCGCTGCCCTTCGTGGCCCTGGTGCAGCCCGTCGTGGCCCCCTCGTTGCCCTTCGTGGCCCCGTTGCAGCCCGTCGTGGCCCCGTCGCTGCCTTGCGTGGCCCCGTTGCACCCCTTCGTGCCCCCTCGTTGCCTGTCGTGTTCTCGTTGCACCCCCTCGCTGCCCTTCGTGGCCCTATATATGTATGCCCTTCGTGGCCCCCGCTCGTTCGCGCCCGTCGTGGCCCCATGTGCTTGCCCTTGATGGCCCCGTTGCAGCCCTTCGTGGCCCCCTGGCCGCCCTTCGTGGCCCCGTTGCTGCCCTCAGTGGCCCCTTCCTTGCCCTCCGCGGCCCAATAGACGTACCTATACGACCGCCCTGCGGGCGATCAGGAGGTTGGG